TGTCCACAAGGAGTCAGAAGAAACCCTAGGGACTTAATGTCTGTATACTGCTAGGAACAGACATAGAGAGAAGCTTATGGGTCTGTGCATATAAGCATAGGAGAATATGTGTGCGAATATATACATATATCTGTGTCCCAGCTCTGTCCCCTACGGGGGCCTGGAAACCAATTGCCTGAGTAGCATAACACCTTAGCTCCCAGATTGTATTTCTAAATACAATTCTCTGCTAAAAGGAACTGAAACTCCTTAAAGAAATGGTTGATTCCAAAGCTCAAGCAAGAAATATACAAGATTAGTCTGGAGTATCTTGGGCCAAAAAAATAGCAAACTGCCCAATGAATAATAACGGCTTCTCAAAAAGGCACAGAAGGCAACTCGAAAGGGCTCCTCCCTGGTCCAATAGGAGACCATTTAAACATTACAATAAATACAGAGAGGAAAGGATTATGACCTATTATAAGATCTAGGAATCCAAGAGTCTACACAGGTATGAGTTAAATAAATGCCCTTCCTTGCAGTAAAAAAAAAGCCAACAGTAAAACGATGATGGAAATTTTTTAAACACCCCATCTGGCAATCACAACAATAATTGATTCAGGGAAAGATCCTTCATAGATGCCAACGCCAGTGGGTAAAATCTGAGGGCTAATGGGGTGTTTCCGTAGTCTCAAAGTATCTCTCCAAAGGATATTTATCAAGTATCTTTGTATTGAGTATCAAGTAACTTTATATTCACCATCATCACCTGGTGACCAGAACGCACGTTCCCAGTGACAGAAAGTGACAGCATCTTCCCCGGTACGATGCTGTGAGAGGAACAGGGCGCTGCTTCTGTGGGGCTCCTGCCCAAAGTGCGTGTCTGAATCTGCACAGCAGGGAGCACGAGACAACCCCAAATTTAAGGACATGCCACCATGTGACGGGAACACATCATTCCTGTCGTCACACAGAGCCAGGAGAGGGTGAGGACAGTCAGGCACGAATTTTAAGGACATGCCTGCTGTTCCCCTGTTGTCACACATTCCTTCCATGCCGTGCGGTGGGGAGGGCACAGGAAGTATGGCCACCTTCAGATTTAGTGTGAGCGTCCCTGGTTGGGTGACCTTGGATGAATCTCAGGACATCTCATTCCCTGTCCTTGGTCAGCTTGTCTCATCTCTGCCATGGGCAGGCTGGAAGGACCTCACCGGATATTCATGGGGCTCTGGGGGAAATATGGAAGCCCTCTCCGAGTTATAAAAGAGCATCTGGGTGTGTTGTACGATAATAACCCTCTGTGTGGGGCTTTCAGCCCTGCAGGCCTTTGCTTAGCCCAAAATGTGAGGACCACCACCCTGGGATTGCTGCGTAAACACCTAATTACTCACTCAGTTGTAGCATGTAAGACTGGTGTGTGCACGCGCGTGTGTGTGTGTCCGAGGTGGGGACACACATTCACTGAACACCTCCACCATACCAGACACTCTTCTAGGCCAAGAAGACCGTGAGGCCAAGACAGAATGACTCTCAGCTCTCAGGTCTTCAGCTTCTAGGACGATAGAAAACCTCAAGGTCGATTTAAACTGCATCAAGCCACGGAGTTCTTTTAAGGAGGAAAAAGAGAAAGAACAACACAAAAATAACCTCAGTGATGTACACACTCATTTAATTCTCCTCCAAACCTTTGGGGTTAATGTTCCCATTTCTCAGATAAAGAAACTAAAACGAGGGGCTCCTAGGTGGCTCATTACGGTAAGCCTCTGACTCCTGGTTTTGGCTCAGGTCGTGAACTTGAGGTTCTGGGATGGACCCCGCATCCTGCTCCAAGCACACAGATCAGGATCAGCTTGAGATTCTCTCTCTCCCTCTTCCTCCACCCTTCTCCCTGCTCGCTCTTTCTCTCTTTCAAATAATAAAAAAATCTTAGGAAGAAAAAAAACTGGAATTAGAAAAGCTGCCCAAATTCAGACAACTAATAAATGTGGGGGCTAAAATTTGGACTGCAAGCTGTGGAGCTTCAGAATCCCGGGGTTGTGGCTCTGTCGGCCACCGCTGGGTCCCGGAGCCCACCAGCCTCAGGGCTTCTCCAGGCTGGAGAATTCTTTGTGCTGGAGGCTGTCCTGTTCTCTGTAAGTTGATGGCAGGAACCCTCCATACCCGGCTGTGACAACCAGAAGAGTCTCCAGACATGGCCAGATGTCCCCTGAGGAACAAAATCACCCCCACGGAGAACCACTGGATCAAGTGTAAACACTTGTTCCAACACGTACTGTCATATGACCTTGGATAAGCAACTTAACCCCTCCGTGCCTCAGTGTCCTCATCTGTAAAATGGACAAATGACAGTAGGTGAGGTTAACGAAAGGATCAAGTAGAATCAGGAAAGCACTTGGCCATCCACATACAGGCTCAGGACATGGCTCTTTTTTCTACCGCCCTCTGCTGCCTCCCCTCCAAACACCAAGGATGTTCAGAGCTGGCACACAGTGGAGGTTGGCTTACATATGGAAAGTGTCATAGGAAAGTGTCAGGTAACCAGCTCATTAACAATGGACAAGGGATGCTCTGATCCCAGCAGCAGTGCACCTGCTGCCTGGGAAAGCCCTGGCAGCCCTCCTTACCAGCACAGGGTGTGAAGATTAAAGACTCCAAGACCATACTGCCCAAGTTCAAGTCCAGCTCAGCCACTCATGAGCTATATGACCCTGGGCTCGTTATTTAGATTCCTAATGCCTTCATTTTCTCATCTGTAAAATGGGAGTAAAAGAGCTACCTGCCTTGCAGGGCTGTGAACATTGAATGGATTAGCGTGTGCGAGGTGCCCAGCCCTGAATGCCGGCCCATTGCTGCTCTCCCATCCTGGCCTCCAGCCGCACCCACCACCTTTCTCTTTTCCTCTTGTGCCAAGCATAGTCCCATTTCTGGGAGTTCGCCCTGCCATTCCCTCTGCCTGAAGCACTCCTCCTCCCAGACCTTACCATCTCCCGACCCTCCTCCTTCATCTGGGTCTCTCTGCATCGTGCCTCTTCTGAGAGGTACCACCTGAAGTCAGACAGCAGCTCCCGCACTCTGAACACTGGGCCATTCGTGTCCCATCAGTTGTCACTGCCCCGCGCACACCGCACACCACAGGGCAGTGTGGTAGCGATCCTTCACTCGTCTCCCTCCTGCTGAAGCAGAAGCTCAAGACCCCAGAGTATCTGACTGGTAACCACATTCCTAGAACAATGCCCAGCACAAAGTGGGTATAAATAATTACAAGAACTGATTGGAGCTCTTTTGCAAAAGGGATTTTTAAGGTTCTCACATAATCCATTTTCCTTCTGTTAAACAACAGAAGTTGTTTAAACTGGGGCCTAGAACAGATTTGCAAAAAAAAAAAAAACCAAAACAAAACAAAAATGAAAACAAACAAACAAAAAAACCCTTGCTTATGACAATGGGTCCTTTAGAATAGATTAGATACACTTAAGAGACATCCAGATTGATTCGGTTTCTCAAACCCTGTTCCCTGCAGCTGTGGTCTCCAGAGAAAAGGGAGTAACGAATTGAGCCAAACAAGAATTCACAAGGTCAAAGACATCAGGAAGCAATGTAGAATTCTCTCCTGCTTGGGGATTCACACCGCACAGAAAAGCTCTAAGAAGCCCTGTAGAGAAAAGAGTTATTTTCCCCAGGTTTGCTGCACTAACCTGAGACCCCACCTGAAACCCCCACCATAGCATCTGCACAGTAAAGAACAATTTGGAAAACACTGCTTCTGTAGAAGTGTTTCAATGTACAGATGTGGACAGAAAGTAGGGCCCAGAAAGGTTACTGGACTCATTCAAGGTCACACAGCCATCTCCTGAATCCTAGAGCAAGACCATATCTCACGGCCCCCGATGTTTCCCTAATGGTCCACAGAAGTGATCAGGTTACCAGCGGCCAATAACAGAACACAGACCTCAGATTCCAATATCAGTATGACGAGATTCTGTATGAAAATTGAGGTACCGAATGGGACTTGGCTTCAACTTCAGTGTTCCAGAGGTACTCATTCACCAAATATTTATGAAGCATTATGTGTCAAGTACGGTACATCTTGCCATGAACAAGATGTGGTTGCTTAGTAGACTGACAATAAAATTATCCCGAAAGAGACCAAAATTGATTGAACTGTCCTTGATGAGCCTGCCTCAGAGTAGGGACTTGTAAGAAATTACATATTCAGATTTCATTTGCTTCCATTAACAATGCTCACATTTAGATCCAGTGGTAATAACATGCTCTCAGTTGGAATGGCTCTGGCATAAAACACTTCTCTTCCCCACGCAGGCTGCAGAGAAGAACAAAAAGATTGAAAGTCTTTGGGCTCTTTTCATGTTGAGCACCTCAACCAATAGATTTTCCCATTTCAAGTTCATTCAAATATCATCTCGGGCTCCTACCTTTTTGTTAAAGTGCATTCTCTCATTTCCTGGTGCCTACAGATGAAAATGTCTATTTAAAAATGAGATTTTTTTTTTTTAAAGCATATCAGCTCACACATTTCGGAGACTTTCAGAAATGCAGATCAAAAGCCAAGTATGTCTAAAACACTACAGATTTGAGATTGAGAAAGATTCAGCTCTTAATGCTCTAATCTTTTCAATGAACTGATCTGGGAGGAACTGGGAGAATTATTTTATGTTATTTAAACAGGAGATTCCAAATGAGAAAAAATATTACAATTCCAGGGCACAGGAGTTCCTATCTGATGCTGTATCACTTAAGCCGGCTTTCAGCACAGACTTGAGATGGGTGTATCTAAAAAACAAAACAAAACAAAACAAACAAACAAACAAAAAAAACAGAGGAATTGGAAGCTCTTCACGGTCCTTGCTCCTGTGTGTACCTGTAAGGCCAACCTGTCTGCAAAGATAAAATAAAGATGTGCTTCCAGACCAAGCCAAATTCTTCCCTGATTTTAAGGATACTCTCGTGATTTCTCCAGAAACTGTCCTGAAAATCAATCTGGCAAAGCAAAGATAATCACCCCATCATGCACATAAATTTGTGTTTATTAGACACCAGAACAAATCAGAAAGAGTTCATCAGCTGTCATAAAGACACAGAGACAGCAGAAACTGCAATAACACAGGGCCACAAGAAGCAAAATGCACAAAAGCCACATACATCCCAGCAGCACGACACACCCACATAGATCCTGTTGTCTAAAAATCAACCAAACAAAAATAAGTGACTAATCAATTCAATTGTTTAAAAGGGAGCGGAGAGTGTATTTTTTAAAGACCAGCTACTACTTTTTTTTTTTTTTTTTTAAAGAATCAAATACCACCTTCTCTTCTCTAACTGGACACTGGTCCGTTTCTGCTAGGCTGGGGTATATTTGACTGAGTTGATGCCAAATGCTTCTGCCAATTCTTCAGACACAGAAAATGTGATCCACTGGGCAGCTCTGGAAATGTACTGGTGAGTGTGAATTCTGTGTGCTCGTTGATGTCCGTGCTGCTGTGTAGATCCACAAGGGGCACTCCTTATGCTGTTTAATGGAATCTATCCGGGGTGAGAGGCGTTATTTTGCCTAACGAAATCTCCCCCTCGCAGTCCAGCTCCCAAGCAGACTCCGCGGCAGGGTCACCATCCCGGGACGTCTGAGAGATCTGGGACACACGATCAAAAGGGTTCTCCTCCTCCTTGTCCGCCTCCCCGTCCCCTGGGGTCACGGCGTTGGGGATCATGTGGATGTAGGCAGCTGCGATCTCCTTGTGGAAGACCGTGTCCTGGTTGTAGGAGATGAGTTCATTGCTGATGTTCACGGTCTCCACTGCGGTGCGGGAGCAGAGGTTGCTGCACCCCAGCAGCTGCGCAAACACCTTCCGGAAGTCAGCGTTGAAGGCGTAGATGACCGGGTTGAGGGAGGAGTTGGCCCAGCCGAACCAGACGAAGACGTCGAAGGTGGTCTCACTGACACAGGGAAAGCCAGCCCGAGGGCCCTCCGGGCGTCCGCTGCAGAAGGGGACCATGCAGTTAAGGACGAAGAAGGGCAGCCAGCAGCACACGAAGACCCCCATGATCACCGACAGAGTCTTGAGGACTTTGGTCTCCTTCTTGATGGATGTCCGCAGGCTGGTGTCCGGGGCACAGGCCGCGCGACTGCGGCAGCTCTGCGCATGCTCCGCCGCCCTCTCCAGGGAGGAAATCCGGCGGATCTGCACCTGGGCAATGCGGTAGATGCGCGTGTAGGTCACGATCATGATGGCCACAGGGATGTAGAAGCTGATGAGTGACGAAGAGATGGCGTAAGTTCTATTCAGGCTGGAGTCACAGTTTTCCGCCCTCACCTCTGGCTCCCCCGCTTCCTCCCAGGGTGTCCCGTTAGCCAGGCTGGATGGCGGTTCCACCCGGCCCCAGGAGCCTGCCTTGTCTCTGTGCCAGTGGAGTTGAACTGGGATGAAGGAGATAAGAATGGACAAGGACCAGGCCAGGCCAACCATGATCAACGCCACGCGCTGCGTCATCTTGCGTTCATAGCGGAAAGGCCTGGAGATGGCCCAGTAGCGATCCACGCTGATGACACACAGATTCAGGATGGACGCGGTGGAGCACATGATGTCAAAAGCCACCCAGATGTCACAGAAGGCCCCAAAGGGCCAGTAACCGGCCACCTCGGCGACTGCCTTCCAGGGCATGACCAGCAGCGCCACGAAGAGGTCGGACACAGCCAGGGACACGATGAAGACGTTGGTCATCTTGGCGCGCAGGTGGCGGCTGCGCACGATGGCCGCACACACCAGCACGTTGCCCAGCAGGGTCCAGACGATGAGCAGGGTCAGTAGGCCGGCGGTGACCACCTGCGCGGGCCCCAGCGGCGCCGCCCCCTCCGCGTCCCCCGCGGCGCCCAGCTGCGCCAGCTGCTGCTGCTGCCGGAACCGCGCCCGCTCCGCGGTGCCGTTGCGCCCCGGCGGCAGCATGTCAGGTTCGGCCGCGGGGGCGGGCTGCGTGAGGTCCCAACTTCGGCCTTGCGCCCCCCAGGTGACCCATCGGGCACCCGGGGGCTGGCGCACCGGGACCCGCGGTTAAGGGATCCTGGAGCCCCGGGGGCCGCTCACCGTGCGCTGCGCCAGGGCCCCGAGTGCGCGGGGACCCCTCTGGCTTCCTCGAGCTCCTCCGGGTCCGTGGCTGCGTTGCGCCCTTCCAGGGTCAGCGCCAGGAGCAGGAAGCCGGACAATGCGCGCCGGGCGGCGGTGGCTGTGGCTGTGTCTGGTTCGCAGCCGGAGAAGCCAAGAACCAACCGGCACCGCCGATGGGGCGGGGGTCGGGAGAGGCCGGCGGCGGGTGAGGGTTGCTGTGCTGCCTCTGTCGCTGTCTGCGCCCGGGGCCCGCGCCCCCGCGCCTCCGCGTTCCTCAATCTCCCGCGCAGCCGCCCCACCTGTACCCGGGCGCGCTCACTCTCCGCGCTCCGTCGCTGGAGTCTGGAGGCAAATCCTCAGGTCCGAGAGGCGCTCGCGTGCCAGACCCTCTCCGCGTGCCATGGAAAGCACGCCCCGGGAAGACCAAGGGGTCCCTGATCCAGCCCTGGTGCCCTGGCCCCAGACCCGTTTGGGGAACGGGGAGGTGGCGTAGGGATGGGGGAATCGCTGGCTTCTACACTGGGAAAGAGCGTTTGTAAGGTAGGGGGCAGCTTTAGATTTCTCCCGGACCCCAGTCCCAACTGGGACTTCATTCCTGGCTGCGTGACCTTGAGCGCCCTAAACTTCACCGGGTCTTGGTTTTCTCATCCACAAAAGGGGCTAATGACTCCTGCTCTTCCCGGTGGTGTAAGGTTCAATGAAATCGACATCTAGAAAAAGCATGCAGGAAGCATGTCTCCTAGAAACCATTTTCTCTAAACTACCCCTCCCCATCCTCATTATCCATTCCAAAATTCAGGCTTAACCTGACCTCTTGGGAGAGTCTTCCTGCCCACCATCACACCGCCCCCCCCCCCCGGGTCTTTAAGAGATTTTTCCTTTGGGGAATAATTTTGGATGAGCCCAGAAGACAAGGAGGAGGAAGGCTGACTCCAGTGGGCTGGGAGCCTCCTGCCTGCTGGACCGTCTCAGTCTTTCTCTTTTATAACCTTGAGAAAGATGGATTAATATTTCAGTGCTTAACAGAAGTGGCAATTGAGGCTTGAACCAATGATCCAAAGCCCAAAGTTTTGAAAAGAATAGCATGCTTCCTTCTTGCAGCAGACAAGTTCCCCTTCTGAAGGGCCAAGTTTCTGCCTGGGTTAAGCTCAGCTGAAGACAACTGGGGAGAGAACGAGCTGAGGCATATAGCCGCCCTGCACTGAGGTCTAGAAACAGGGACTGGACTCTCTCATTCCCTCCTTAATCTCTCTCTCCACTCAGACCTCCCTGCCCCATTCACCCTGCCTCCATCTGCCTGCTGGACCAACTCAGCCTGCCCGGCCTTCCCCAGGCTCTTCTCCCTCAAATCTTCTCTCCCTTCAGTGCTTTCTGCTGCTGGAGGTGGTGAGACCATCTGTCCAGGGGCCTGCACCTACACCTGGGGAGTCATCCTTACTTCCTGTCTCTCCCCATCTCCTAGGAGCTAATCCGCTCCTCTCTCCACTGACACCCCATCCCGGACTGTGTCTTCTTTTTGCTGTTTTACAGCGACACGCTGCTAGCTTCCAGGTTCTGCCCTGATCCTCTGTCCACCCTCCCATCAATGGCAGGCAGAGTGATCTTTCTCAGATGTACCTGATCATACCATTTCCCCAGATGGAAAACCCTCAGTATCTCCTCGGGGTCCCTGATCCTTAACTGTCAGGTAATCACTGTGAAGTCTTTCAGTCATCTCCCCCTTGCTCCAAATGTTCTCCTGCCCCTCCTCTTCCACCTACAGCCTGGATTCAAGCCACTACCACCACGAAACACAAGCAAGCCGGCCAACAAAAGAACACCAGTGATAATTTCCCCAATGGGTCTTAGGGCAATCCCTCACCCTGGAATGACCTCCATCCCATCTTGTCTTCCTAGAGAACACCAGCTGAGGATGTCAGAAAAGGACTTGGGTTTTGGAAACAGGTTCGAATTTCAATTCCTTTTACTTTTATCTGGCAAGTACTTATGGAGCACCTGTTACCTCTTAGCTGTTTTGTTCATGAGAATACAAGGGAGTATAAAAAATGTGCTGTCCCTTCCCTTTACGAGGTTATTAGAGATAGACTTTAATACAAGAATTATCCAAATAAATGTACAATTAGAACCGTGATGGGTGCTATGAAGGAAAAGTGTAACAGTAGGGAGTGACCTCACAAGAAACCAACCGAGGCTCAGAGAGAGCAAGTAAATGGACCAAGATCCCACAGCTAGCAAATTCCTGCTCTTCCTGCTCGTTCTTTCTTTCTTTGGGCCACATAACTGTGATTTCAACCCAAAGAAGGACTCCCCTAAATATCTTGTCTTCGTGGGGAGGGCTCCTAAAGCCCTTTGTCTGCTGGAGGACAATGGTTTCCTGTGAGCAGTGGCTGCCCTCTCTCACCCCGGCTCTTTGCCACATTTCCCAGAAGTCTCTGGGAAGCCAGACTTGTCAGCAAGGACTCTAAGCAAGTAGGCAGCTCATGAACTCCCTGTCTCATCATCCCAGCCGGAGCCCTGCCCCAGAGGATGGGAACAAGAAACGCTTCCTCGCCTACATTTGGCTCCTACAAAATTGTACCAAAGAGGATTTGCCTAGAACATTTTAGCACAAAGGGGGCTTCCCTAATCTAGCTGGGAAGTATTCTTCTGTTTGAACTCCCTGATTCTCCTCCTTCCAACCGGTTTCACTTCGCTGAGACAAATGACAAAATCAAAAGGTACGGCAGTCAGGATTTGGGTGCTCCTGCCACAGCTGGTATCAAAAGACTGAACTCTGTTTTATACCCAGAAAGGCTTGGTCCTTGGTTATGGGACACGCCTGAGCTCCCCAGGTGCCAGCCCTGTCCGTGCGCTCAGGTTGGCTCAGCAGAGCCCAAGCAGAAAGGCAGCGATGAGCTATCTGCATCCATCCTGTAGGTGGAAAAGTGGCCTCAAGCCCATGACCTGACAGTGACCTGGAGGCCTCCTCTTCAAACCCAGCGTTCAGCCCCTAGATCTCTGCCCCCTCACAGCTCAGACACACAGGAGTCCTATAGATGAAGGCATGTCGAATTACCCCACCACCAATATGAAGGGGCTCTCACTTACCAAATCTGGGACACCGTGAGCATCAGAATTAATTATGATAGTAATGGATTATAATCTATGTGATAAAATGAGAATCTATAGTGATAAACCAGAAAAGGAAGGAAGGAAGGAAAGAGAGAGGAAGGGAGGGAGAAAGGCAAGAGGATGCCAATTGATGTCAAAGGAATAACAGAATTAGAAAATCACAGTTTTGCAACCATAATGGTAACAGCTGATTTAGATGAGAGTCATCACCAAGTACAAGTTTGGAGAAGAACAGGATACTGACAAAAAGAAAGGATGGTAACTTTATAGTTGAGAAACCTGGCAGGCTCTGCCTTAACTAGTGAACAGACTTAACATGACCGGGCTAGGACAGACAGACGTCAAGGACCCCATGGTGGGACATCCTGAGGCCACATAGCATCCTTATCCAGTATCCGTGCCCCCTGAGGAGATAGCAGACAAACCCAGAGGGACCGTCGACAATGGACCTGAACCCTTCAAAGTACTGATGTCCCAACAGGCAAAGAAAGGACAAGGAGCTGTCCCAGGTCAAAGGAGACACAGAGGCATGCCGACTGGATCAGGGGAGAGATCCTTTGAAGATTATTGGGACAGTTGGCAAAATGATCATGTGGGTGGTATATTAGACAATTCTTGACAATGAAACCACTGACAATTGACAGTTAGTGACCATTAGACAACTGTATGGTATCAATTCTAAGTTTCCTGAATTAGGTCACTAGATGCTGCTTGTTCTTGGAGAGTACATGCTGAAACATCCGGAGTGGAAGGAGCAGGATGCCCTAACCACAGTTCCGGGCTTCAGGAAGAAACAAGGGCGTCATGTCATATCCCACCATGTCCATGCCGGAGAGATAGAGCCAAGTGGTCAGGAACACTTGGTGAATCTGGTGGAAGCTACAAGGAAGTTCGTCCTCTGACAACGTTCCCACACGTTTGAAATTATATCAAAATAAAAGAAAATTCAAATAAATACATTGATTAGAAATGCATTCAACTGTGAGTAATGGAAGGTCTGCCTACTCATGGCTTTATGCAATAAAGACATTTAATCCTCTCACATAACGAGAACTTCCAAAGGAACAGGCAAGGGGCTGGTGCGGAAACTCAGTGACAGAACTAAGGAACCAGGTCCTTTTAATCCTATGTGCCACTTTTCTCAGTGTTGTGGCTTTTGTGTCCTTGGAGCCTCCTGGTCACAGGCTGGCTTTTACAGCTGTGGGCACCATGACCAAGTTCAGCCTCCAGGAGCAAAACCAGGTGGAGCGAGCTATCTGAGGGGGAGTTTTCTTAATGTGTCTCTGACCTATCACCAGTGAAGTAGATCTTAGGAGGCACTTAGTTCTTGTTAGCCGGAAGAAAACCAGCCCTAATGACAAGGCAGACTGCAAACGGTTTCAAGCATCAGGCCATGGGAAACGGAATGCCAGTGCTTGGCTTCATCCCCAAAGACTGGGCGCTTTGCTTCCCCGACCAAAATCAAGGTTTTTTTAGCAAGAAAAGGATTGTCACTGAGAGGGCAGTTAACAGTGTGTGCCGTAATTAATATTTGTGAAGCTCCTGCCCAGGTTGACACAAGACAGAGGAGGACTCCGTTCTCAACCCCCAGAGCTTATGGTGTGTGTTCCTGGGCAGTCCCGTACCCCTCCCCCACACCCCACAGCTCTCTGTGCCGGGCAGGGAAGCCCCCTCAGAGCTCAGCTAAGACATGATGCTGCAAAAGGAGACCTCACTGAGTTGATTCAGGT